CTCGAATAAATAAAATCCTTAAAAAAAAAATTTTTTTTAAATAAAGAAAAGCAAATGCAGCTTGGTAAAGTAGTTGTCCACAAGAAGGATTCCCTGAGTTGCAGCTCAGATAACTGTAATCATACAACAAGTCCACTTACTCAACAAACATTTATTGAATGCTTACTATCTATACTGTATACACTAGAGAATGAGCTAGTTTGAAATGGAATCAAAGTAACAATACATAGACAGGAAGGGGGGACTTCAAAGAGAAAGACATGGACAGAGGCAGAACAAGCTGCCCATATGCCCCTTACCATTTAAGGAGTGGGAAGGGACAGAGGTGTGTCCTGCTTGCTCAGACGCTCAGCAGCCTCAGAGCTCCTGGAGTCGGGCCTGCTCACCACTGCATCCCCAGCACCGACCGCAGTGCCCGTCGGAGCTCGAGAAGCAGCACGGAGTGAAGAACGGAGGAAGGCTGTTAGAGAGTGTGGTATCTACAGGGTCACACGCAGCGATGCCTAGAGCACGGCAATGTGTCAGCCAGCCCTCCCCTGTGCTCTAGTGGGACGGTGAGAGCGGTCATGCCCGCCAGGCTAGCGGTGTGGTGTGAGCAGGCCCGCTTCAGGCTCCATTTCCCTCTGCAGGACTGAAGTGCACCGCATCCCTGCCCACCAGTCACCTGTCACCTGGGCAAAGGGCAGGCTCTAAGGAAGGCCTGCAGAACAACACTGCTTTCCCTTTCCACCTCCGAAATGGTTCCAGCATTTTAGACCCAGGTTTGTCCCATACCAACACTCTATTCACTGCCTCCTCCCTTCACCCCAAAACAGCCTCGACTGAACTGAGGAGAAATGACCAGTTTCGGAGGAGCCACACCAAAGAAATGTGGGCAGCCTTGCTGAGATGTCATAAACAGAGAGCTGGCCAGGGCGCAAACACCCTGCTCTCCAGCACAGAGCCCTCTGCCCTCCCGCTGGGCTCCTCTAATAAGTCATCTGGGCACCTACACCTCAATGCGCTTGGCAAGGTGCAACCCAGAGTAACTCTTTCACACCAACAAGACAGAATTCATCTATTGTTCCAAATCCACGGCTTCCTGAAAGCAGGGTTCACATGGCAGCAAGGTGAACTGTTTAGATGCATGCTTCTTCTCCAAGTTTGCAGTTTGAAAAACCTTCAGCAGTGATTCTTACCCTAAGATTCACTGCCTAAGAGCAGGCTTCAGGCCGGGGAGGTTCTGGGAGGTTATCTAAACATGTGTATGAGCATTTATGGAGAACCTGTCTCTCTGATAAGATTGTGAAAGGAGGTAAATCCAGAGAGGTAAAGAACTTGTGCTAAGAGTATGTCCTGAGTTTAGCATATTGCAATGTTATAAACTTCCCAGGGTGATGGCTAAACGGTATGGGGCTTCCTTTCAGGGTAATGAAAATGTTCTAAAATTGATTATGATAAATAAATTAATCTTAAAAAGGGGGTGCTGGGTGGCTCAGTCAGTTAAGCAGCCAGCTCCTGATTCAGGCTCAGGTCATGATCTCAGGGTCCTGGGATTGAGCCCCGGGTTAGGCTCTGGGCTGAGCGGGGAGTCTGCTTGAGGATTCTCTCTCCCTCTCCTGCTGCCCTTCCCCCCCTGCTCTTTCTCTCTCTCTCTCTCTCT